GAATACACCCCCCCTCAATTGGTAATTTCGTGGATTCTGATTCACTGGAAAGTGAATTTAACATATATAAATTATTTTTATGGAACTAAACCCTTCACTGGAAACATACTTCTTTTTCTGTGAACTTCATAATCCGATACTTTAGGGTACTGATTTCCTCTTTAGTTGCCTTTCTTTTTTGAATTACATTCTGCGAGACTTCATCAGCTCGGACACCTCACTAGCAAATCCACCGTGACTCGACACTAAACAATACGTTAAAACCCTTTCAAGATAAATGGATGAACACATAAAAAATTAATGCACCAAACATTACTTTGGGTTCCAAACGTAACTAATTTATACTATGATAGCTTTCATCTTTTTAAATTGTTCCTATCTTGCATCCCCCACTATATGTATTTTCAATAGAACCCTTTTTAGCATTTAAACATGCATCATTGTTGTTGTTGTTGTTGTTGTTGTTGTTGTTCTACGATCAAACTCGGATATTGGCTACAACATTTTTATCCTTAATGAAAGTTGTATTCTTTTCTCTGCCTTGCAAAATTTGATTGAAGTCTAGAATCTCAGAATAGTTTGTTTGAATAAAGTGTAGATCATAACTCTCATTTGTACACCCAACAAAAGAATACAAGAGATGGAGCATTGTAATGTAGATGAGGATGAGCCAACGAAGAAGATGAAGAGCGTTAAAATAGAAAAAATCAATATTGCATGTTTTTTATTTAGTTTTAGGGTTTTGATGTTATGCTTTCATTTATGTATTAGACAATTTATTATGTATAATTGAGTAGTAGTGTTTGATACCTCATTGGAGTTAACTCTGTCTGACTATCTGTCATTCACTCTTTTGGCAGGGTGACCCTCTGAAGGTGAAAGTCAACAAACTGGCTTCTACTAGAACTCAACTTCCTTATTCATATTATCCCCTTCCTTACTGTAAGCCAGATCGCATTGTGGACAGTGCAGAAAATCTTGGTGAGGTTCTTGGGGTGACCATATTGAAAACTCTGTTTATGAGGTACACTACTTTTTTAATGATGATTGAAATCCGTGATGTCCCTAAATTGTTAAAATTTGTTCTAACAATTGCGTTTTTCTTGTAGGTGTTTATACAGTGTTAGCTAAAAAAATCATTAATTTGATATTATAAGCTCAATAAAATTGGCATTCGTTGGAAAGATATTTAAAATATGAATTCAGCGCTATATCAGGTTTAAAATTCTCTAATTTTGACTAAAACTTTATTCATCATTTATACGATTAAAAATAAACACTTTATTTTTCAGTTTTAAAACGTTTTTATTTTAAATCAACATGGAGGGGCTAATTATAACGCATTCAAAGTTTTTTATTTTTGTAATTAATTATTAACTCATACTTAATAATTATCCAGTCATCATTTAATATATTTCCTGCATTCCTAATGTTCAGGGCTTTCATGGAAGAGTCACTGCTTCACTGAGAATACTAAATGGCTGTGAAGAAGCTGTCATAGCCTATTGATCTCTTAGTGGATAAGGGAATGCAACTCAATAAAAAGATCAGGAACACCTGTAACATCCTCCCCCGATATACTTCAGTTCAATAGGATGATCAGATAGGTAAATCCCCGCTAACTTACAAATCTATCTACTTGAAAGGGCCTTAAATGTGACCCAGTAGACCTGGGTGTAAACTCAACTACTTCCAGGCCTCCAGGATCTGCTGAAGGAGACGCTTAATACTTAATAGAATGAGCTTGAACTATGTTCAACAAATTGGATGATCAGGCCGAGGTACAGAGATTCCTCTCCCTTTGGTCGTACCTCTCCCTTGATCCTAACCCTCAGGAAAAGGGTTTTCATAGGGAACTATCAAGAGACATGGAAAAAAGTGTGGATAACACACATTTGTACCTTTAGAGGTAGTCACTTTAGTAGTTGCTAACACTTCTCATTGAGCCTGTATCAAACATGCATTTTGTTCTTTGTGGGGCTGCTTTACGAGATCAACAAACTCTTTGTGATTATGGTTTTCAAAAGTGAAGGTAAAACCAAATGTTTTAGTTTGGAAATCCCAACCATAATAATCATTTTAGATGCAGTAAATACTTGAGGGATAATATTGCAAACAATCAACAACTATGATACACAGTATTATATTACTTTATGCTACTCTCCACATATACGCTGAGTAAAATTATACACACACACACACACAAACACACATATGCACACAAACATACATATAATACCTTCTTTGAGGATGACTCTCCAACTTCCTGGTAGTATCTAGGTTGGAAAAGACCATTATCTTGAGGTTATTGATATTTTTGATTTTAAGGACTTCTACCTGAAGATATCCTTTCACAAGCGCTCTTTTCCCATCATTCATTTTCAAAATACACCTCAAAATTAGAGTAGTCCAGTTGCTCCCACTACTTTGGGTAATTCCAAATTCCTAATTTCTTTTCTTTGTTCTATTTCTTGAAAATTAATTTGTTACAATTACAAATATGGCCAACACACTGACATTTTTCTACATAAATATATTCAGATTCCTTGAATGTAGATCTCATACTATATCATAGTTACCACCTGCAAGTGTAAAACTATATCATAGTTACCACCCGCAAGTGAATGTAGATCTCACACTATATCATAGCTACATTTAGAAAAACCATTGAATGTATACTATATACAAATCTAAGAGGATTTAGAAATAGTGTCCCTGCCAGTGTGTTGTGTAAGCTTCTAGCTATTGTGTCCCTGCCAGGTGTTCGGTACGCGCTCACTTCTTTTTTGTCTAGAGTTGCTTTCATGGCTCTAACCTCATTTCATCCTCTCAAGTAAGATTGTTGATATTCCAACGGATGGTGATATTCAAGTAAGATTGCTGATATTCCATTATGCTTCATGATTGGCTAGATAGCTTCGACTAGGGATTTGGGATGCCTTTTTGTAGCATCATAGGAATTGGTTAAAAAGAAGACACAGAGTTGTGCTTGATTTTCATTGTCAATGATAATTTGATCTAAATTTTGAAAATGCATTTGGTTAGAAATTCATTTTCTAAAGTTATTGCAAGCAGCCTTCAAAATCTAATTTGGGAGAGAAACAACTTAGTTACTCCTTAGTTGCTACCACTACTTAGGGTATTTCCAAATCCCTAATTTCTTTTCTTTGTTCTATGTCTTGAAAATTACTCCCTCCGTCCCAGAGTATTTGTCCACTTTCATTTTTACACAACATCCAATACACTTCTTTAATCCATTTTATCGTGTAATTTGTATATTAAAAAATTATAGAAATTATATATTAATAATCTATATGTTTAGACAAATCAAACAAGATCACACATTATTATATTTAGGCTTACACATTGAGAGAATTTGATGAGTCAAAGTGCTTAGATGAACAGTTCCAAAAGTCAAAAGTGGACGAATATAGCGAGACGGAGGTAGTAATTTGTTACAATTACAAATATGGCCGACACGCTGACATTTTTCTACATAAATATATTCAAATTCCTTGAATGTAGATCTCATACTATATCATAGTTACCACCTGCAAGTGAAAAACTATATCATAGTTACCACCTGCAAGTGAATGTAGATCTCACACTATATCATAGCTACATTTAGAAAAACCATTGAATGTATACTATATACAAATCTAAGAGGATTTAGAAATAGTGTCCCTGCCAGTGTGTTGTGTAAGATTCTAGCTATTGTGTCCCAGGTGTTCGGTACGCACTCACTTCTTTTTTGTCTAGAGTTGCTTTCATGGCTCTAACCTCATTTCATCCTCTCAAGTAAAAGATTGCTGATATTCCAACGGATGGTGATATTCAAGTAAGATTGCTGATATTCCATTATGCTTCATGATTGGCTAGATAGCATCGACTAGGGATTTGAGATGCCTTTTTGTAGTATCATAGGGAATGGTTAAAAAGAAGACACACAGTTGTGCTCGATTTTCATTGTCAATGATAATTTGATCTAAATTTTGAAAATGCATTTGGTTAGAAATTCATTTTCTAAAGTTATTCCAAGCAGCCTTCAAAATCTAATTTGGGAGAGAAACAACTTAGTTACTCCTTTATAAAGAATTTTGATTAATCTTGGATAATGAGAAAACATAGAGAAATGTGATGATTAGGTGACTTCGAAGGAAAGAATTATGGTTGCATTATTATTCTGTAAAAATTTTCATCAAATCAACATTAGGTTTTGTATAGGGTTCCCAGATAGATTTGAGGGAGAGTAGTCCGTCTAGATTCCGTTTCTGTTTCCACCTGGAGAGCTATCTAAGATTCTGCAACCTTCCAGTTGCGTCGGTTAGACGAAATAATCACCTACCTACCAATTTTTGCATTCCGTTTCCATGGTTTTCCATTAGATGTTGCTTCAGGTCTACAGAGCCATTTTATTTATAAAGATTATGAAGGATAACAAGTCTGATGATCAAACTATCGGGTTTGGGTCATTTCTTTACAATTTTGGAACAAGTGTTTTATAAATGAAACTATGGCAAAATGTTGATTAGTTATGTATTGTTTGCCCTAAACAAATACTCCGTACTATGGAGTGGCATGTGTAGGTAGCGGTCACTTTTTCTACAGAGCTTAGACACTCCCACACTTGCAGTGGCATGTGTAGATACCCTTTTTCCCTTTACATGTTTATCAATGTTCCTTTTGTTTATTGAAAGGGACTCAAAGTGTGTGTGCACACATCCTATCCAGACTCCAATCAATGTGATTTTATTGAGTTTGTTGTTATTTTCCCAGCTCATAGTTAACCAGCAAGCTATTTTGACACAGACACAATTGTTTTAGCTTTGAAGAGCGTTGCAGAGATTTTAAAGATTTTCACAGTAGGCTTCAAACTTTTCAAACAGTAGGCTTCAATATTTTCACAGTAGGCTTCATACATTGGAATAAGACTATACACATGTGTTTCCATATATTAATTATATTTGATAGATGAATGAAATGTTATTTATTTTACAGGGTTCTCTATGTTTGGCATTCCTTTTATACTCTTTCTAACAGGTGATTTGCTGACACAAATTCTACTTTGATGGTTAGAAATGAAATAAAATGTATAAAGTCATACTCTTTTACCAAGCCGCTGAGTGCTCTATATGTTTTAATATTGTCTTACTCTTATGAGTCCACTCAATGCTCTATGTATTCTATAATGTCTTACTCTCTCTCAGCAATTTCCTATATTGAAATTCATGCATATGGAATCGATGTTCCATTGTTAGTTATAGGCTCATTATTTTTCCAGTTTCAAATCAGAGAAGGGTCACCTGGTTTCGGGACCTTATAGTTTTGAAGTGTCACCTGTTTTCGGCACCATTTTTATTACTCTGTATTTTTCAAATTCAAATCCAACATTATTTTTTTACTAAATTATGACTGTCATATTTTTAATTTCTATTTTTTGTTTAGCCTGAAAGATTGAGTATATGAGTTGTGTTGTTAAAATGATAAAATTTCATCAAAATTGATAAGCACTAGCATAAAGAAATATTTAGATTTTAAAATTATAAGTGGTGATTGTGTTTGATTCTTGATGATGAATCTGTTCAAATTAGATTTCTTCCATTAGATTTTCATTTCTCCTCTTGGTAAGGAATAAATGTATCCCTATCATCAAATATGTTGTTATTTATGCTTGCCTCTTTTTCATTTTATGTTGTTCTGGAATTCATACTTTTTGTTCCTAATTCATTTTTGTTCCCTAGGGATGGTGTCAACTAGCTTTTGAATATAGAAAGGAAGTATATGCTTATATTTACTTTGTTTTTTACAGTAGCTTTTCTTCTTTTATTTTTTAAGCTATTCTCGACGAGTAAATATGAACTATGATAGTTTGAGGCTATTCTTCTGTTATTGATATTTTTTTGAGTTTAAGGACACATGGAACTATGATAGTTTAAGGCTATTAACAACATTTTGGGTTAAGGGATTTATGAGAGAAGGTATATGGTACAACCGGCTGTACCTAGAAATAGGTACATCCAAGTGGTACTCATTTTGGAGTAAAGTAGTACCCATTCTTGCACAAACAGAATTACTTATTTTGAAATAGCGTGGTACTCATTTTGAAATAACGTAATACTCATTCTGAAATAATGTAGTACTCATTTTCACACATTTATTTCATACAATTATAATATTCATCTACGAATAACATAGTGTTCATTCTGAAACAAAATGGTACTCATTCTCAAATGAAGTAGTGTTCAATCTCAATTAAAGTACCACTCATTACACCTAGTCTAAAATCAATTTGTCACCTTTCTTCATCTTCCTCACCCAAAACCTAAACTATTTCCGATTATAGCCACTTTTCCAGTAAACCCCACCAATAAGTTCCATCTCGTATACAAAATAATACAATTACCTTCCCCATTATCACATCACCATCACCTTCTCCACCATCATCTTCATCATCACCATCTTCATCATCACCTTCGCCGAGCTGCTCCAACTCTGTACTGCCTTCGTTTGCCTATCAGAGGGACTAGGGTTTGATTCGATCACGCGCTGACACGTTGTGGGGCTGACACGTTGCAATCCACATAGATGCTTATTTGGCCCGTATTTCCTGACTCATCAACTTCAATTAATGGAAACATATTTCATCCGTTACTTCCGAGGGATCTCTCTAGAAGTTCTTTAGACGTTGGGAAGCGGCGATTCAATAAGCCAGAAACCTGAATAGCCGCTCAAATTTCTGCTGAAGGGTTTGAACTTTTAGAGTTTATGGGCTCGATAATGACTGCTTCATTCTTCCATACGAATATATTGCCTTGAAGGCTAGCAATTTATGTATTACAGTACTCCATATGAGATATTCCAAGTATAGGCTTGAATCTCGATGTTAAGTCATGAGATCAATAGTATGTTTGTGTGCACTGGCAGATCCATGCTTTGTCTAGGGGGGGCTGCTGCCCCCAGTCAAATGTAGATTTTAAATAAAAAATTTTATTTTTTAAAAAGTAGTATAAAGGTTGCCCCCACTAAAATTCTAAAATTTTACTATTGCTCCCACCTCACACTCAGGCCCAAGTCCCACAATTTTAAAAATCAGAACAGCCCAATCCAAAGTTGACCAATAAAGCCTAATCCTAAATCAAAATTGGAGTAATTAAATATCCCTTGCTAAATGTGCTCCACTTGCGTTTCCTCCTGCGGTTCTGCTTCCTGTGGTTCAGTCTTCAATTTTCATACCTCATCAATCATCATCTTATTAGGTAATTCTTCAATCTTCATACTTCATCAATCTTCCGCCTCCACGCAATTTTTTTATTGTTTGGATTGATATTCTTTGCCCTCTTAGTCAAAAAATTAGGTTATGTGCGATTATAAATATGGTTTGAAATTGAATTTAATGGTGAATTAGATTGTAGAACTATATGATCTTATCAGGTAATTCTTTTATTATTTTTTTATTGAATTTTTTGCTCTCTTGATCTAAAATTTAGGTTATTTCATTATGTGTAATTATAAATATGGTTTGAAATTGAATTTAATGGTGAATTAGATTATAGAACAATAGGAGGAAATGAGGGGAAAAAGAAGATTGCATAAACTGAGGTCTAAAAAAGTAAAATTTTAGGAGTTAGGACTATTTTTTTATTTTTTAAACAGATTATTTTGTGAAATTGTATTTAACAAGCCACATTGGAAAGATGTTTTTCAACAATGAAGCATGTGAAGACTGATTTGCGCAACCGAATTGGAGACGAGTTTCTTAATGACTGTGTAGTTTGTGCTGTGGAAAAAGATATCTTTTCTCATATGTTCTACTTATTGATTTGTATGTTGAAATCAAATTTAGCTGTTCAGGTTCAGATCAAATTGATTGCTGTAGGTTTGTAACATAATATAAGAAGACTAATACTGATCAGATTATATTCAGACCTAATGCTCTTACCTTGGTTGGTAACAAGTATAATGCCTCTCTAAGTTATGTTTCTGCTTGAATGCATCCCTGTTGATGAAAGTTTGTGTTTCTCAGAGAGCAGCTTAAAAACTGTATTTCACAGTATAGTTATATTTAAATCACGCCTTTGTAAATACCTGCAATGATATTGAGTAGTAGTGTTTGATACCTCATTGGAGTTAACTCTGTCTGACTATCTGTCGTTCACTCATTTGGCAGGGTGACCCTCTGAAGGCGAAAGTCAACAAACTGGCTTCTACTAGAACTCAACTTCCTTATTCATATTATTCCCTTCCTTACTGTAAGCCAGATCGCATTGTGGACAGTGCAGAAAATCTTGGCGAGGTTCTTCGGGGTGACCATATTGAAAACTCTGTTTATGAGGTACACTACTTTTTTAATGATGTCCCTAAATTGTTAAAATTAGGTCTAACAGAAGGTTTTGTGCAGTTTCGTATGAGGGAACCACAGATGTGTAACATTGTATGTCATATTGTTCTTTATGCAAAAACAGAAAAAGAATTTAAGAAGAAGATAGATGATGAATATCAGGTGAACATGTACGGGGAAGATTCTGAGCTCTTTAAGGACCGTGAACGCTCTTTAAGGACCGTGAACGTTCTTTAAGGACCGTGAACGCTCAGTAGAAGATTCTGAGCTTTTTGCTTCAAAAAAGAACAAAGAGGTTGGCAAACTGTTTATCTTCAAAATTTCCTTATATGGTTCCTTCTTTTCCTTTGTGCTCAAATATGGGAACACTTTGTAGATTGTAAAGATAAGGTTAAAGTAGAATAAGGAAAACAAAATTTGAAAAAAATGAGCAACTCTCTTTGCCAATGCTTGCAAGTGTCATATGGACTTGCTATTAGACTCAATGTATTTAAGTTTACTTTGAAAAAATGAACAACTTTGATAATAGTAAACTTATGTTTAGATAATTAATTGAAGCTTTGATTAGTTAACTACTCCCTCCCCTGAATTAATTGTCCTACTCCACTATTTAGCGGTCAAACGTTTTCTACTTTCTTTGCTTATTTTCGTTAATCATTTGTTAAAATAGCATAGTCATTTCACCTCTTGTTTTATCCTGCATTTGATTTTTTAATTTGTAATTTTTTTTGAAATTTTGTACCATTATTTAAATAACTTGAATTGAAAATTAAACTCAGTCAAGCCTCGTTATCCGTAGTATGACAATAAATTTAGGAGGGATGGAGTGATTAACTTGAGCTTATTTTGTTTGTCAAGGCTTGAGCTTCATATTCTAGAGGTCTTGTAAAAGAGGCTTGTGCCTAGAGCACTAGTAATTCCTCTGCCACTCACACCTTTTTTCACCTTGCCTTCATAGGTGACCTCACCCCATGCCTCTAGTGCTTGTTCTACTGTTACGTTACACCCTTTTTTCATCTCTTTTAATTTTGTGACAATTCTCAATCATATACATCACAACTTCATTCCTTTTTGTAATCAATGTTTGAAATTATCTTCCCCAATGGGCCTTAAGGCTCACCTCTTGGCTTCTTTGGGGAGTTTCCACTGTAAGGTTATAATCCGATAACCTATCTATAAGCCTTTGGTGCTTAAGGCTTGTGCAATATTGAAGAGATGAGATGTTGAATATGTATTTCCCTGCGACAAACCTAATCTTTGTCATTTCCTCCTAGTCAGATTTAGTTCACCACCGCCGCCGCCTAATCACCGAGAGAGATCTTATCCATGGTGAAGTAGATCTTACCGTTGCCTTCATCACCCCCGTTTTCTACACCTCCAGGCGTGGCTCCTGCTATTGAGGTGACCCGCTCCTTTTGCATCTCCTCCGCCATGGACGGCGACAACGGCGATGAAGCCGAAGGAAGAAGAAGAAATGAAGTAGTGAACATAGATCTACAGTTGGGTGGGGTGGGAAGAAGAAGAACGAGGGGTGAAGTGGGTTGGACAGCTAGAGAAAAGGAAGAAGAAGATACTGGGTGGAGAATAAATTTCGGTGGGTGAGAAAGGGTAAATCCGTAAATATGACATTTAACATAAAATAATTTGCCAAATAAGAAAATGGTAAAAAAAAAATTTTAGGACGGCCAGAAAAGGAAAGTGGGAAGAATGTTTCCAGACGGAGGTAGTATATGTTAGAACTATTGTATTATCCATGTCTTTCATTGCGCATCCTTTAGATCTGTAGCCATATTGACATGAATGATTGAGAAAGGAATTTTATGTTTAATTTAAGAGAATGATATTAGCAAATACTACGTGTTATTCTCCATAATTACATGCTTACTAAGCAATGTTCGAAAAGGCGAAACGTAAACGCACCTCAAGGCGCGCCTCGGAACTTTTTCCGGAAAAAACGCCTCAAGGCTAATCCCGTTTTCACACTATACGCTTTTTTACGCTATTCTATGAAAGGCGTACGCCCCAAGGCGTACACGCCCGTGCGTGTAATAAGGCGTACGCAATTCCAGTTTTAGAAATTGGAAATTAAACAATTTAAATTGTCAATTACTCCAATTAATTAACCCAATTAAGGTGTATATATCCTAAAATTACCCAAAATTAGTGTCGATTACCCTCCTAATCTTTGTCGATTAACTTTTGGCGAGCTACGAACCGTCTCCAGCCGTCCAGCGTCGCCGTCTGCAGCCTTCTTCTCCGGCGAAAAGGTATGCAGTCTTCTTCCCCGTATGCAGTCTTCTTCCCGGTCTGCAGTCTTCGGCATAATTGTTCATTTGTTCTGCGGCTTCTGCGTTTTATCTCTGCGTTAATTTGTTCTGCGGCTTCTTTCCACCTGTTAATTGTTCAATTTGTTCTGCGGCTTCTTTCCACCTGTTAATATCCTCTTTTTTTTTCTTCTTTTTTTGATTACTGATTTGCTAATTGTTATATTTTTTTTGTTTTTAAGATGAATTATTGCATAGTATCGTATTGTTTATTTTGCTGTTTCAGAAATTAGAATATTGTTTAGATGTCGGACCCAGCATGGAAGTATGGTGTTGACTCAACACCCACAATCGAAGGAAAAAAAACTACAAATATGTAAACTGTAATTTTTGTAAAAAAGATGTCAAAGGCGGGATTAGTCGATTTAAGCATCATCTTGCTGGTACAAGGAAAAATTCTGCACCTTGTGAAAAGGTTCCTGAAGAAGTTAAACATGAAATGTTATCTACTTTGAATTTGGCCACACAAACAAAATAGGTGAACATGAGAAATCGAGAGGAGCTCATTGATAGTGGTGCATACTACCGAATACAGAGTCAATTGTTGGTTCATCAAGCGGTGGTAGCAACTCCAATAGGGGAGTGCACGGTCCAATGGATAGATTTGTTGTGGATGTTAATGTTGACACTCCTGATACTATTCCAGAAAAACCAATGAGCGAAAGAGAAGCTAGAGATAGAGTTTGCCTAGATGTGGGAAGATTTTATATTGAGAATGGTATTCCATTTCATGTTGCAAATTCGCCTTCGTTCATAAACATGTGCCGTGCAATTGGTAATTTTGGCAGGGGTTTTAAGCCACCTACACCGTATGAATTGAGCCACTGGATCTTGGATGAAGAGGTAAAAACGACTCAAAAAATTGTTGATGACGTGAAAAAGACGTGGACACAAACCGGGGTCTCCATACTTTCAGATGGGTGGAAAGATATGCGAGGAAGACAGTTAATAAATTTTCTTGTTAACAATCCTTATGGAACTGTTTTCTTAAAAACGGTTGATGCTTCTCGTCATGTAAAAGATGCAGACTTGTTGTGCAATCTATTTGATGAGGTTGTAGAAGAGGTAGGTGAAGACATTGTGACTCAGATTGTTACTGATAATGCTTCGAACTACAAGGC